AAGGGCCAATAGATTGTAAAGACATCGAGGCCTCGGGTATAAATGGTCGAGGGTCGATGCAAGGAGTCTGTTGGAAGGAGAACTATTGGGGCCTTGGGTAAAAATGGTCAAAGGCCAATAGTTGAAAAGACATCGAGGCCTCGGGAATAAATGGTCGAGGGTCGATGCACTAATGTCGGGGCTCTGGGTAAAAATGGTCAGGGGCCGACACTACCAACAGAATGGTCTTAGAAAGCTTGGATGGATGAGATGAACATAGGGTTGCTTGAAGTGCTAGGGTGCCACGTGGACTGTAGTCGATTTGTATATGATTGTGGTTAGCATCGGGTCTTAAAGAGCATGTTTATGGTTGAATGTATAATGAAATTGTAGAGCATGTCTATGGTTGTTCGCATACTGTAATGATAGTGCATGACGATGTATGTTTTCTTTATAGTTACGAGCATGATGTTTGTGTGTGCATGGTGAGGGCTACTTACGGAGTATATTTTATATACTCACCCCCTCTACAATTGCTGTTTTCAGGCGGAGAGTTCATTGGCGACCATGGCGATGACGTGGAGGAGACATGACAGGAGAGGACCATAGGCTGCGTAGTGATATTTGCTTAGTTTAGGATTAGATGGTTTTTACTTGATTGTTTTGGTAATAAACTATTTGTTCCAAGTGAATTGATGGGAGTTCCCACCTATTGTTTAACTTGACTCGGAATAAGTGTTTCTTTTATTTTCTTCTGTTCATTGAGATTGTTTAGTTGGAATAATGGATGTTGCCATGTGACGTTGTCCACGGAGGACGCATGGATGAAAGTTTATAGAATTGATGTTTTATTTTTGTTTTAATTCTGGAGTGTTGAACAGAGATGGGGCATTATGTTATATATATATTTCACAGGGAGTCGTTGATCTCGGGTTTAGAGAATAATAATTGACAGGGGAATTGAATAACGTTACCTAGAATAGCGTAAAATGTTCTGGGGCGTTACAGTTGGTATCAGAGCGGAGTTGTTCCTGTAGACTGTCCTAGAATCTAGGTCGTTAGTGTATGGTCCTTGTCAGTCTCCTCGTCATCACCAGGTACGCTTCTTAGTTTGCTTGTTTGATGCAATGGGACTCTATGCCTTTTCTATTTGACTTGCGCTATTTCTTTATGTTGCTTATAATTAACGCTTCTTGTCCCTGCATCGGGGAGTGTTTGTGGTGGATGATGATAGCGAATACATTGCATTGTTTGTTTCCACTTTTTGTTGTTGTGACCGAGAAGGAGGTAAATACGTAAAGCATATGCTTTTGGTTCGTTGCCCTTTCCTTTAAAGCTGTTTTCTCCTGCTACTTTTCCTCAAGTCTGGCGTGAAAGAAAATTGAGTCCTGTTAATATGATTTAGCATTGGTCCTATTTGTCGTTTGCTTCTATTCTCTTATTTTTACTCTTAAAATTTTTAATTCCTTCCTGTGAGTCCTCGTGTGATGCATTAAATTTGGGTATATACTTGATTTTTCATGAAATAAATGGTTGCATCATGGGGGAAGTTCCATAACCCTGTAACTTTAGGCAATTTGTTCTGTTTCATTGTGATAATTATTTGCCTTTGATAATGTGTGTTGGCATAGGCATGGCCTCTTTAAACCATGCGATACAGTTTGATGGACCGTTGGGATGAAATTTTATTTTTCTAGTATAGTCTATTTGGTGGTTTTAGACTTGGTGTATGGTTTATCATTGAAAGTTATATATATAGAATAACTTGTTTGCTGTATGGAGTAAACCGGCTAGTTATTTGACTCATTATATGTAGTGGTAAAATCTCTCTTGTTGGTAGTTGTTTATAGTTAGGCTCTAATCCCAGCCTGTAAGTGGAATATTTATGGTTTTTAGTTGACTTGATGTTAAAATAAATAAGGGAAATCTTTGAATAGACTCTCTTGGCTATACCAATTTGAAATGTTCGTGGAATTAGGTGGCCAAGTGGGTTGCTTTGTTATTAATGAGGTGGAAGGTTGCTCATTGAACGAATAATTTCTTCAATTATAGAGTCTGGTTATGTGACAATTTAGGCTATTTAAATTGCAAATCTCTACTTTTTAAAATTACCTAGGGAATGTGATGGACCCTAGCTTTTCTGTGTTTGGGAAACGTGGGTACAAAAGAAAATCTATCTGTTGGGGTGGCGATTGTATATAGAGTCCAACACTTGGTGGCTTAGGGTCAACGTGAACTACCACAGTCCACACTCTTTTGAGTGGATCTTGGCTCACAAGTCTAAGATGTCCTCTAAAAACCATACGCTACCATGAATGAATGTTGAAGTAGAAAGTGGCTGTTAGAGCTTGGTAAAGAAATAAAAAAAAATGCTCTCTCGTTCTTCCTAGAGTTTGGTTGTTTCGTGATTGAAGTATTTTAAGTTCTTGAAGCAGATTTTCTACAGTTTTAATTGATGGACGTCAATAGTTGCAGAGTTGATGATGCATTTTTCTACTGAAAACGATAGTTATATGCTAGAAGAAGTAAACAAAAATGTGATTTTAGTTCTTAATCCTCCTGAGTTCTTATGGTGTGAGGGTCATGTATGGCAGAGATGGTCCAAATGCCTGCATGCCCTCGTTTATTTTTCCAGGATCGAGATGTCATGGTATTAACCGATTCCACAATCTTGCATTAGGCAGTCTTGGTTCATAGAATGAATTATGTGGCCAACTCGTGGGGAAAGACGTATAGTTTCTAGTCCCACTGAATCCTTAAATCTTGCATCAGGATTGTGGTTGGCTTGATTTCTGGTCAATGTTGAAGGTCTTCTCTATCAGGAGCATGGAAGCTCAAATGAAAGATCTATAGAATCATAAAAGAAAGTTCACTCCTGCGGAGAAAGGAAAAAAAAAAAGGTTGCTATCCTAGAACGAAGGATTCCTAAAGGAAGATTGAATGTTTGCAGAAGCAGTAAAAGAAATTCATTCTAAGGAAGAGGGAGACGCATATAAATAGGTGGCAATTAAAGTGGAGACAGCATTTGGTCGAAGCTCAAATGAAGTATCTGTAGAAACTAGGGAGACACCGAAGCTGGGAAATCTCTTTCAAGGAAAAAGGTGCTGAAGAAAAAAAAAACAGATCTTTTTGGATCAAACAAGAAGTTTTAGTAGTCTGGAACAACATATTGGTTATCTCCAAGTGTGGACAATTTATGATGCTATAAAAAGAGAATTCTCCCCACGTTGTGTGTTTAATCCTTTTATGGATAAAGCATTATTAAAAGTTGAAGATAACAGTGTGTCCTATAAGTTGAAAAAATCCAAGGACACCATTTATCCAAAAATAAACGAGTCCAAGAACGCGGGGCGTTACAAGATAACTGTTGGATAGTGAAGGAAAATTGATAAGTTTCATGTGAAAATTGATAAATGGGATTTTGACAAGCATAGTAGGAAAGAATGGGTTCAAGGTTATGGAGGTTGGATTAGACTCCATGACTTACCTTTGCATTTCTGGAAAAAAAAAGTCAGTTTTGAATTGTCTTCTCATCTTGGGCTTCCCTACACGAGGATTTGTTCTTTTAAAATATTATATCCCTTTGAGGCCTTTCTTCAACTGCTCCTGGGAACGTACTTTAAAGGGCAAGCAAAAGTCCTTTGGTCCATTTGGATAGCTGGTTTGGTTTGGAGGCTTCGGTTTGAAAGAAGCAATTGGACTTTCCTTGGAGAAGAATCAGAAAGAGAGGTTTTGCAGGAGTGTGTTAGAATTAGAGTCTTTGTGTCCTCTTGGGACCGGAGTTGGTGCAGGTGACTAACAGTGTCATCGAGAAGATCAGGGGAAGAATGCAAGTTGCTCAGAGCCGTCAGAAGAGTTATGCAGACCTCAAGCGTAAGGAACTCGAGTTTGTGGTTGGTGARCGGGTGTTTCTTCCTGTGGCACCCGTGAAGGGTATTTTACGTTTTGGAAAGAAGGGAAAATCAGTGCAAGGTTCATTGGGCCCTTCGAGGTTTTGGAACGTATTGGCCCAGTTGCGTATAGGTTGGCCTTGCCACCATCGTTGGCTGCAGTTCACAATGTGTTTCTCGTGTCGATGCTGAGAAAGTACATCCATGACCCTTCACACGTTTTGGATCCTAAACTGTTACTGCTAGATGAGTCTCTGTGCTATAAAGAAGTACCTGTCAAAATTTTGGCAAAAGAAACCAAGTTGTTAAGGAATCGGACAATTCACTTGGTTAAGGTTTTGTGGAGGAACCACCAAATGGAAGAAGCTACTTGGGAACGGGAGGGCAACATCAAGGCGAGATACCCTGAACTGTTTGATCAATCAACTTTCGGGGACAAAAGTTTTTGAAGGAGGGGAGTCTGTAACGCCCCGTGTCCTTCAGGTTAGTTTAGTCTCGAATTAGGAGATTTTCATTAAATTCTAAATTAATTTCTAATTCCTGGATTTTATAATTTTGGAGTCCAAATTTTATCAGATGTTGTGGAATTTACTTTAAATAATAAACTGTAATTTTTGGACTTCTTGTTTTGGGCCGGTGGGTGGTTTAGTTGGGCCTCTTTTAAACTTAGAGAATTTAGGTTGTGATTTTTTAAACAATGTTAGTAAATAAGAAAAGAAGAAAAAAAAAGGAATAAAAGAAAAACAAAAAAACAAAAGGTGTAAAAAGAGAAAAGAAAAAAGGCCCTAGAATCCCTTTCTTCTTCTTCCTTACGCGTGAGCCACCAGCCCCATCCCCCTCGTGTTCTCCTTCTCCCTTCCGTTCTCAGACGAAGCAACAGTGCGGCAGCAGCAGCGGTCTTCGACAGCACGACGGCGGAATCCAACCGAGCAGTTGCGGCGGTCTTCGACAGCAACGGCGGCACCCTCCGACGACGCCGACGACGCCTGCAGCGCGCGGCTCATGGACCCGACTGACTGGTGGTTATGCTGAACGCACGCACTAAGCGTGGTAACAATTATATAGATGCAAGCGCACACCTGTCAGAGTAATATAAAATGGATGGAGTATCCAAGTATCGATCCTCAAGGACTTCTAAATAATTTCCAAACTCTAAAGTTTTAAAGAATAGTGAATGTTGAAA